GAATGCTGGCTGTTCCCACCCAGGGGCCCGGAGTAGGCTTCTGGGAGGCCTGTCCTCCCCCTCCTCTCCCTTCCCCACCCTTCCCTGCCCCCACCCCAGGGGCACAAGGAAGCTGCAGAGAGAACAGGAGGAGATGCTGTTGGGAACGCTATGTGCGGCGCTGGATCTGAGCAAGAAGCCAGGCCAGGTGCGGGTGCCATTCCCATAATCTTACATTTCCCCACTGGGAGCTCACAAGGCCTGGGACCCACAGGGCCTACAGCATGTGGGGAATGGCCACCAGGGGCTCCAGGAGGGCCAGGGATGGCAGGTGCCACTCCCCGGATGCCGAGCCCCGGGGCTGCCCCACCCCCCAGCACTGCCCTGCAGGCCAAGCCACTTGAATCGGGGTAGAATCACGCAGCCTTCCCCGCACACCTGGGCCCACGCGTGCCCGCCCTCCTGGCCTTGCTGACCGACTGGGCCCCGGGAAGGCCAGGGAGGGGGTAAGTTGCAAGTGCCAGGTCTATTTTAAATCCCCATCTCAAAAGGGATTTTGAAGCACTCAAACACTTCAGATATTCTTAGCCTTGCTGCCTGAGAGCACCACCTAATGCCGGCCTTTTGAAGCAATTCCACGCTTTTATCGACACCAGGCTGTTCACGCCGCTGTGACACACAAATCACACTACCAAAGCAGCAACAGACCCAGAAAGGCTTCATAAAACGCTGTAAACCTGAGGACGTCGACACTTAGAATGCTACCGAAATACTCGGAAATGGTTGCAATTAAGCTGCCACAGACGCGGGAGAAACGACGCAATCAGGGAGACAGGCGTGTGAGCACGATCTGCCAGGGAGCAGCCCCAGGGTCCCAGGCAAGGGCAGGGAGCCAGGGCGCCACTGAGCGGCCCCTGAGCCACCAGCCCAGGGACGAGAGGCACCGCACCCACCCCCTGGGCTGGTGTCGGGGGCGCCCAAGACGGGTCTCGGCCCCGAGGACCAGTTCCCATGGACATGGCACTGGCACTCCAGGACCCTGATAGGCAGAGAGCCCCCTCTCTGCACCAGGCCCCTGCTGGGGGATAGGGACCCGGGGTGGGGGTGGGGGGAGACCGAGGGCCCTGCCCCCCCCCAGGGTCCACAATCTGATGGGGAGATACGCCGATGTCACACATAGCTAATATGAGCATGGGGTGCCCTGCCAACATCTGGGGCCCCCACCTGGATCCTGGGGAGACGGCATGGTGCCTGAGCTGAGCTGAGCTAGCTTGGGGCTAGGGGAGCAGGGAGCTTGGCAGGGGCGGGGGTGGGAAGCCTCAGCAGCTGGATCCTACACAGCTGCACTAAGAAGCCTCTTCCCACCGGCCACACTCAGCACGAGGAACCCCATGTGCAATCCCATCCCCCTTCAGGACCAGAAACCAAGACCAAGGTCAAGCTGCCTTCTGGAACATTCTTTCCCTCAGATGAACCGCTGTTGTGCCCGATGCTGGCCTTGCCGACTGCTGCCCCAGAGCTCTTCGGAGTGGGTTGTGGTGAAGGGGTGGAAGTGAGGGGTGGGTGGACGGCAGGGGACAGGGGTGCTGGGGCTGCGGCCTGGAGAACCCCAAGCCACTGGAGGCAGGAGGTAGCGTGCAGAGCCGGACATCAGTCCTGCCCGTCAGCTGCCCTGTCAGCCAGGGGCTGCTCCCCCTCACATTCCCAGTGCCCTCTCCCTTGCCCCTCTCGTAGCCAGCCTCCCCACCCCACCGCCTCTCAGGACTGTCCTGGCCCAGCTGCCTCCCTGGGCTCCCCAGGCCACTTCCCAAGTCACCCGCCCTGTGACCCTCCCTGCCAGCCACAAGCTCACACTTTGCCCCCTGTCGCCCGAGGCCACCGCATCCTCAGGCAGGGCCATGGCCGAAGCTCAATCTGCCTTTGGCTGGCATGTGCCAGGATTTAGCCGTGGCTCCTTTCTTTTGTTCTGTTCTGTGTTTTCAGGTAAAGGTGGGTTTTCTCCCTTTCCGACCCCTCTGGCTAGTAGACCTGGGCCAAAACACGGGCGTCGGCAGGGAGCTGAGCGTTCCCACCGCCCACCCCGGCAGTCTTCACTCTTCTCCTGCTGCCGCCCCCAGGGAGCCTCTGGGGCCATCACTGCTGGGGTCCAGGAGTCCATTAAAAGGGTGGAAGAAGCTGGGAGATTACCGCAGGCACTGGGAGCAGCAGCTAGGGCCGAAGGGTGGGGGCGCCCTCTAGCGGTGCTCAGGAAGCCGCGCGGGGACGCGACTGGGACACGGTGCTGGGAGGGCCCAGAAATCCCCTCCCCTCCACCCCCAGCCCTGGGGCCTCCAGCAAGAGGAACCGTCCAGACCAGTGAGCTGGGGCCTCAGCACGTGTACACACTTGTATGTCACAAACACATGACTGCACACTTACAATTTACACACGCACACACGGAACTCGTATGCACGCCCATACACACGCACACGTACTCATGCACCTTCATGCACAAACACGTATGCACAAACACGAACACGTATACACTTCCATGTACACGTATGCACGCTCACAAACACATCTGCACAGACTTGCAGACTCATGTGCAAACACACACACACTCGTGCACACAGCCCCAGCCTGTGGATCAGAAGGTCCTCAGCTGCACTCAGCCTGCCACGGCCCATCAGGAGGATGCCAACTGCTGGGAGCCGGCGGGCAGAGCCCCCAGGAAAGGGGCACAAGCATCTCACCCCACAAGCTGCACCATCAAGCCTTGCTCACAGCGGTGGGGTTGGGGCAGAGCGCAGGCCCTCTCCAAGGGCCTAGACTGGGGCCTCCGCGGACTTGCAGCCTGGCCTGGCCATGGAGACGGAGGAGACGGGGTAACTGAGCTGTCACTGGGACCTCCTGGGCAGGACTGGGGTGACACCGCCTACCAGAACATGCCTCCACCCACCTGCTCAGGACTGCACGGGGTGTGAGATTCAGGCCTTTGTGCAATGGGCCTCACCAACCCCGTCAATCTCTCTCCAAATTTTTCCTAAAAGGTAAATACCTCCCAGCTAGAGGCTGCGATGATCAAGAGCTGCTGCAAAGCCACAGAGACAAGAGGCTTGAAAACAAGAAGCCCCTCTGTCTCTCATGAATAAATAAATGAAAAAATCTTTAAGGGCGCCTGGGTGCTCAGATGGTTAAGCGTCTGCCTTCGGCTCGGGTCATGATCCCAGACTCCTGGGATCGGGTCCCGCATTGGGCTCCCTGCTTGGCGGGGGGCCTGCTTCTCCCTCTGACCCTCTCCCCTGCTTGTGTTCCTGCCTCGCTCTCTCTGTCTCTCATGAATAAATAAATGAAAAAAATCTTTAAAAAAAAAAAAAAAGAAAACAAGAAGCCCGTGGAATTCTAACAGGATCCCAGCAAACACACGAGCTAACAAAGCAGGACAATGCGAAGGTCGGAGGGCCGGTGGCCACAGGACGGCGGCCCCAAAGATGTCCACGTCTTAATCACCAGACCTTGTAAGGATGTCACCTCACATAGTAAAGGGACTCTGCAGATGGGATTAAGTCAAGGCCCCCAAGGTGGGGGGTGACCCTGGGTTCCCAGGGGACCCGGCGTCCTCACAAGGCCCTCACGAGGGGGAGGCAGAGGGTGGGAGTCCCAGAGATGGGCAGACACTGCGCTGCTGGCGGTGAGGATGGAGGGGGGGCCACGGGCCAGGAAAAGGCCAGAGCTGGGTCTCCCCTGGGGCCTCTGGAAGGAACCGGCCCTGCTCATGCCTGCGTTTAGCCCGGTGCGACCTGAGTCAGACTCCTGACTTCCAGAAATGTCAGAGAACATGTGTGTGTTGCGTTAAGCCCCTAGGTTTGTGGTCATTTGTTACACAGCCCCTACCGCGTTCGTCCCCAATGCTTCCGCATCCCTCCCTGTCAGAGCAAGAGCTCCCTGACAGAGAGCAGGGCTGGGGTCCCACTGCGTCCACCTCAGAGGTGAGGAAAGGGTGGTCCCATAGCCAACCACTGCACAGGGAGGCCTGGCTTCCCCCCTGGGGCCTCCTGCTGGCTCCTGAGCCTGCTCCCACCATCTCTTAGTGAAGGGCTCCAGGACGTCCCAGTGACTTCAAGGGAGTGGGGGTGGCCTCCCACCCCCTGCCCATGGGCACAGGCTCAGCCTGGGACACCAAGGTCCCAGGGTCTGGGGACTCCAGACCCTTGGGCCTGGGTCCCCAACTAAGCTGGGCCTCTCTGCCCCCGCCCCCACCATCTCAACACACGGAGGTGCTTGGCTGAGCTCCAGAGAGCCACCCACTGCTCCTGGGGCTCCTGCTTCCCCTCCCACTCCCTCTGAGCTGTGACCATTACTGCAATAGAACTTTCTAAGACAGCTGGGAAGAGGCAAGGAGATGTAAATGCCCAGCTCAGAAATCTCTGCTGGAAACCACAGTGAACAAAGTCGGCCTTGCACAGAAGGCAGCTCCCGGCGGTCCCGCCAGCAGAAGCTGAATGTGGAGCGGGTGCTCGGCACACAGATTCCAGAACATGGATCGTGCTGGATGTTCGACCCAGCCTGCCGGGCCCATCGATCACAGGGTGGCCTTCAGGACACACGCCCACTCCAGTCCTGACAGCAGAGGGCTGGCTGCTAAAGCCACCCCTGAACCTGGAGGCCACAGGGGAGGCCAGGGGAGGCTCAGGGCTCACAGCCACCCAATCCCCGGGGCCCATGGCCCCAGGGAGAGTCCCCAATATGACAGACACTCCATGGACGCCTCCACCACAGGTGCAAACCGTGAGCTCCAGTGAGCAGGAAGCTCATTTCCAGGGACACGTATCCCCTCATCACCAACCAAGGCTGCCCCTGAAGCCAACAAGATATGGGCCAATAGATCGCAAGCTGCCAGAGCCCCTCAAATTTTGCCTGCCCGGCCACAGGCTCAACCCTGTCCCCAAGGGGCCACCCGAAGGCGCCCCCACACCTGTCCGGCCCCTGAGGAGCCCATGGGCAGCCCTTCCCCGCGGCCTGGCTGCCAGCCGGACACTCACCAGGACTTGGGCTCCCCGAAGTGCAGGTAGTTGATGCTGTACAGGTCCATGTCCTCCGTGTGCCAGGCGAAGGTGGTCTTCCACATGCCGAAGTACAGATAGGGGGTGTTGACGCCCTCGATGATGGTGCCACACTCACGCTCCACCATGTCCAGGATGGTCCGCAGGCTCCCGATGTTCCACTGGGCCACATCCTGCAGGGCGGCGAGCACACGGTTGGTGGCAGACCACCCCCGGGGGCTGGCGGGAGCACAGGATGGCTACGGGGCGGCCCCCACAGAGGGCCTGAGAGCTCACGGCCAGTCCCAAACCTGCTCACGTCAGAGCTTCACCCACCCCAGTGTCTGAAGCCCAGCGGGGGCTACTCCCACCCTGAGACACCAGCCCCTCGGCCTGGGCCAGGCAGTCAGGCAGGCTTTCTCTGGATGGCACGCCGAGCTGTGCACTCATCACAGGCAGTGAAGGCCATGCTGTGAAGGCTGAGGTTTCGTCGTGAATAATTAACGTGCCTCAAAGTCAATGACATGGAAGGAGAAAGACAATCATGGAGTGGGGCTAGCTCAGCAAAGGTGCCAGACAGCCCTTCCAGCACCTTCCGCCGGAAAAGACAGGGACGGCTTTCAGAACCAGGCAAACAAGGCCAGAATCCCTGCCCACTGGACTCATCTATTCCTAATGCCACAAACGGGTCCCATCTTGTCATGAGAACTCATAAAACACAGGTCAATCCATTTTCGGTCCCTGGAGACCCCTCCAAGCCTGCGGAGACGCTGAGCAAGCGTCAGCATTTTCTCCATCCTAAGCCCACTCTGCCTCACATCCCATTCATACCCTCCCCGTTAAAGGTCCCTGAACCAGTGGCTGGTCCTGGCAAGGCGAGCCCCTGGCAGAAGCCCAGAACACAAGCACGAAATCACAAGCCCTGGAGTAAAACAAAAACAGATAAATTGGATTTCATCCAATTAAAAACTTCTGTGCTTTAAAAAAAACACTATCAAGAAACTAAAAAAGAGAATCCACATAAAGGAAGAAAATACATGTGAGCCAATCTATCAGGTAAGAGACTTGTGTCCTCTCTAAAGAGCCCTTATAACTACAACAGAAAAAAAATAACCGATTAAAAAAATGGGTAAAGGGCCGAAATGGACATTTCTCCTCAAAGAAGATATACACGGTTCACAAGCACGTGCAAAGATGCTCAACATCATTAACCCGTAGGAAACCTCAGATCAAAACCCCAGTGCCAACACCACGTCACACCCACTAGGACGGGCAGGGTCAAACAGACAGACAGCAACAAGTGTTGGTGAGGATGTGGGGTGGGGGGAGAAGAGCCCTTAGACACTCTCCTGCTGGGGACGGGAAACAGGGCGACCTCTGGGGGAAAGCATGGGCCGTTCCTCAGAAGGTAAACGTGGAATGAGCATGTGAGGAGTGCAGTTCTAGGCCTAGGGACGTGCCCAGAGCAATGAAAACATACGTCTGCACAGACTGGCATATGCACATTCACAGGCACATGACTCGCCGTGGCCAAAAAGTGGAAACAATCCAAGTGAATGGTTAACACCACGCAAGGGCAGGTCACTGGGTTGCAGACAGGAGCAAGGCGCGGACACGCGCTGCCCAGGGGACAGACCCTGAGCCCATGACGCTCAGGGAGGGAACCAGACACAGAAGACCACACGGGGTGTGAGTCTACGTGTGTGACACGTCCAGAACACGCTCATCCACGGACAGGAAGGGGGCTCATGGGTGCTGGAGAGGGGACGGGGAGTGATTGCTGATGAGAAAGGGACTTCTTTTGGGGCTCGCAGAATGTTCTGGAATTGATTGTGGTGATGGCTGCACAACTCAGTGAAATACAGTAGAAACTTGAATCCTATGCTCTATGTGGAGGAACTGTGTGGTGTGTGAATTACACCTCAATAATGCTTCCTTTAAAAAAGACACCGTAGGTCAGACAATGGATAAACAAGCGAACGATCCCCACGAACACTAACTTCATAGAACTCTGTGGAAAAGAGCGGCCCGTCTGACAAATGGGTATGTGACTTCCCACTCGTCCTAAACGCAACACAGGAACTTCAGCTCTTCCAACCCGGCAGCTGTTGGGGTCAGAGTCCCTTCCTAGAAGTCACAACTCCGAGTCCAGGAAGCAGAACTGCAGGCCGGCACGGGGCTGCCCAGCGCCGGCCCACGAGCACTGGAGCTTCATCCCACCCGTGGCCTTGTCAAGAGCACCGACGGCTGGGGCTGCACTTGGAGAGTGGGATGGGGACGGGCACAAGGCTCCCAGCCACTGAGCCCCAAGGTCCCCCACCTGAGGCAGGGAGGACGGAAGGTCACAAACATCCAGAACGGGGCTCCTGCAGAGGCGCCAGGAAAATCTCTCTCCTCATGCTCTCGCAGAGCAGGGGGTGCGGCACCCAGGGACACCCAGTGCTGGCCTCCTGCCAAAGCCCTTCAAGGAGGTGCCACGAGCCCGGATGGAATGGGGTCGGAGGCGAGGCCTGATCTGGGGCTGCCACGACGGGTCCCTCCAGGCCTTGGCGGCCTGATGTGGGAAAGGGAGCTTGGGAAGTTGGGCCCCTCTTGTGGGGCCAGGAAGCCCTCGAAGCCAGCAGAGAAACGGGGAGCAGTGGCAGGGCTGGCGTCTGGAGGCGGCACCCAGACGGGCCCCAGAAAGCCCAGGGACAGGGCCCCACTGGGCCCCCACTCAATCTGCCACAGGAACTTCTGGGCCTTGAGCCAGGCACAAGGGCAAGTTGGCTAATGGTGCCGAATGCTTCCGTAACCATCAATAGGGCAACCGCTCAGTCCTGGAAAGTTCGAGGCCCTGGGGTGAGCCGCACGCCAGCTGAGGTGTGCTAGGGGCAGCGTGAGAGACTGGGCTGTGCCCCCTCATGTTAGATGTGTGTGTGCCAACAGGGCCTGTGGGCCCCCGCCCTCGGCATGCTCGCGGCTCTGCCCTCAGCACGCTCAAGAGGGTGAGGCCTGGCCATGTGGCCTCACAAGCTTGCCACTGCTGTGGAGTCAAAGCCAAGTGGATGAGCTCAGGGTCCCAGGGAGAAGCTAAACCTCCTTGTCCAGAACACCCTTGCTGGAGGACAGCCACACACCTGCCGTACCCTTCGCTGTGGAGGGGGAAACCAAGGTCCAAGAAGGGGGAACCAGGGCCAGGAGTCAGCTTAGTCCCTGACCTCCCAGGGCGAGGGCGTCTCCCTCGGGTTCTTAGGGGTGAGCTCCCTCTGAGCTTGACACGCCCTTGGTGCCCAGCTCAGAGGAACAAACCTGCCCCCACCACGAAGCGCGCCCCCCTAGTTGGAAGGCCCGTGGGCCACAGGTCAGACAGGCTCCCCAAGCTGGGCGAACTGCTGGGACCCACGCGACAGTCACGTCTTTCCAACACCTTTTGGGAAATGCAGGTCTGTCCTAAATGGGTTCAGGAGGGTCCTGACCCTACTCAGGAGGGGATCTTATTCTAACCCACGCCAGCCCCACCCAAGCCCAGGACTCAGGAGGCACCCCCAGCTACTCTCATGAGGACCATGGATGAGTGGATAGAATGTTCCAGCAAGAGATGATCTTCAGAGTGATGATTCAGGGTAGGGGGCAAAGATGGCAGCTGAGGGGCCACTCCGGGAAGAGCCCCAAAGCAGAACACATGTCAGGCTTAAGAGCTTAGAAATCAATCAGTCTTGGTAGAACCAACCCAGGCTTATCAGAGGGCCCATAAATATTAATAAACTGTCCCCTAAAAAAGCGTGGGTCCCACTCAAACCCCCATCTGCTGAACAGCAGCACCTCAGTGGGGCCTCTGCATCACATCTCCACCAGTGTCTGGTCTACACCCCTAACAGGCCAAGGCCAGCATGAGGCCCCTCCATTGCCCCAGGTACCCCCAGGGCCCTCCCAAGGGCTAGAACTCAGGGCCCCGAGGCTCCCCCAAGACAGAGTGCTAGGAACTGGAGAGGAAAAGTACTAGACTGAGGATTAGGAGGCCCCTGGGAGGTCAGCTGAAGGCTACCTGAGGTCAGATCAGGGCAGGAGGGGCTGACAGTTTTGTAGGAAAGATTCTGCAAATCAGAAACACACGTGGAATTCCTTCTTTCTTCACCCTGAGACTTGGCACGTGGTTGTAACCAGAGCCCGACAGAACGCCCAGCTAAGCTGGCCGCAGCATTGTAACATCCGGGTTTCAAGATAAAGTCCCATTCACACACCTTTCCCTCTACCGCTCACCAGGAAACGGCGTCCCTCATTCCCCCAGAACCTCTCAGGGACCCCAGGTACTCACGTCATCGTACAAAGAGCCGCTGATGTCAGCCCCGTAGATGGGAGAGACGAAGGTGAGGTTCTTCCAGTACTTGCGTTCCAGGTCATCAAAGTCCTGGTGCCGTGGGGTACAGTACCTGGTGAATGAACAACACAGCAACCATGGCCGTGGGGCTCACCCCTCCAGGGCGCAGCCGGATACACGTTCTCGGTCCCCATCTCAGGACACAGCCCGGAGAACACGGATGTGGCCCTGGGAGAGCGTTTATTCAGGGCTGAGGGGGTTCGGGATGGGCAGCAGGCCCCCCTGGAATGACGCCCACTCGTCCCATCTCGTCGGTCACCAGGGCCTGGGGCACCCGAGTCGGAACACACACCGGGGACAGCTGCAGCAGGTGAGGGACGCAGGCTCTGAGGGTTCTCCTCAGCCCTCGGCTCTGCAAATACCAGCAGCGCCGACCAGAGGCCGGGCCCTGTCTCGGGGGCCAGGACAGCAGGAGAAGGCAGACGACGCCCCGGCCCCATGGGATGCTTATGTCTGAGAGCGAAGAGACTGCCGGAAATGCACAAATTTCGGCCAGCCACGGAGGCTTGGGGAACAGAGAACAAGCAAGAGTGAACAGGGGAGGCAGGCGCCCAAGTGAGCCCAGGGGCGTGTGCCGGGAATGCCCACAAACGCACCCGGATGTGCGAGGGAATGCGTGTGAGTGTGCCCATGTGTGACCCAGGAAACCCCGAGGAGGCGCCATCGGACTGGAGATGTCGCAGGAGGGTGTGGGGAAGCAGCCCAGGGACGGGAGACAAGGACAAGTCCCCACCATGTGCCACTCTCTCTGCACCCCCCAGAACCAGGAGCCGCCAAGGGCCCCACTTCAGGGGGCCTGGAAGCCCTCAAGGTGTGGCTCCTCCTCAGAGACGGGGTTTCAGGGCCCCCCCCCCGACACCCGCCTCACCCCCGGCCACGTACTTCTCGCTGTTGGCCAGGCGGCGGTACTCCCCGACCGTCATGGCCTTTTTCTGGATGTTGTACTGTGTGAAGAGGCCTGACTGGCCCGTCACCACCTGCTGGATGGGGGCCGGGATGACCACGTCGTCGATGTCATCGTACGTCTGCCTGGGCTTCCACTCCTTTGGGGGGATGATCTGCGAGACAAGAGGGCAGTCAGCGGCGCCGGCAGATGGGAGGACACACAGCCGCCCCCCCGCCCAGGAGAGCAGCGGTGGCTCCCTGGGAACGCGTCCGGGTCCCACACTGTAGGAGCCCCAGGAACCATTTCCATACTTCCTCAAACTCCCCACAGTGACCTGCACGGGGCCACGGGCACTACCTGCTGGGGCACAGCCATGCTGGCCTCCCAACGCCGCCCGGCAAGCCTCCGCAGCTCAGCCTGGGCTCCGGGGGCTGGGAGCGGTCCCCTCCACAGCTCAGGAGCCGGCCCCCATGCGCATGTGCACGCTCACAAAGTGAGCAAGCGGTGTGGGGGGGGCTGGGGCTCCCACACTCTCGCCTGTTCAGGCGCTCTGCAGCCATACCCCCGGCTGCGGAAGGCAGCGCTGCGAGCCTGGCTCAGGACCACCCGGGCCAGGCCGGGAGGCCGGGATACCTCCTAGGGGCAAGCACAGCCCTGGGTGAGGGGGGGACACCATACCACAAACACCCGTGAGGGCCTTCCACTGTGGGAGTGAGCAGATGATAAGCACCGTAAGGGATAAGGAAACCGTAGAAAGGGGACAAGTCCTAAGTACAAAGGACAGAGAAGGGCTAGTGAGGCGCCAGAGGCCAGAGAATGATGATGCCACAAATGTGAGGGGACAAGACCTGAGAAGGTCACCTCTGAGGAACAGCATGGCTGTTTCTTGGTGGCAGCTGGTCCCGCGGGGGACCACCCCCACCCCTCTCCAGGGCAGGCCCCAGAGGGCCTGCAGGAAGGGCTTTGGGGAAGGGCCACCCGCAGCGGGGGGCACCGGATCAGCACCGAGCTTGCCCGACTGGCCTCTTCGCCCTCCTGCTTGCCCCCCTCTGCGCAGCGTGCTCTCTGGGCCAGGCTGGGGCCTCCTGGGTGCCCGGCTCGCTTTTCTGAAGGCCCCTGGGGCCAACACGGGCTGGTATCTCCCCGTCCTGGGCAGGTGTCTGCAAACAGCTCTCCTTCCGGGGCACCCAGCGGGCCACCCAGCAGCTTTGGGAAAAGGAACTCAACCAACCTGTTTTCAGGGCGGCAGCCAAGAACTCTGGGGAGGCCTCAGCCTCCCCCAGCTCAGGGCCAACGAGGGAAGAACACCACACCAATGCCCAAGTTTGCCGGCGGCTTCCAGAACAGCTGAGATCCTTGCCATCCCCAAGGATTCCCCAACAGACATCAGTGCAAGGAAATGTTTTGCTTGGCCACGAAAACCCTCATCCCCTGGTTGCCAGTTAACAGAGAGGTGCTGCCGCCACCAGCACCCTCGCCGATTTGCTGACAGAGCACAAATAAGTAACAGGAGCAATAAGAGGAAGTCAGTGGCTCAGGGCACTGGGCCGTGTCTGGGGACATGTGTGGCTGTCATGACTGGGGGGCTCCTGGCATCACAGGGGTGCAGCCAGGGACGCTGCTCAGGCCCCACAGCACCCAGGATGCCCCCAGAGAAAACACCTGCCTCCATGTCAGCAGGGCCCAGGCTGGGAACCCTGACTGAAGTTAAAAGGGGACACAGCTGCTCGGTCAAAGCTCCTTCTGGGGACATGCCCTCTCCCGACTCCGTGGCCACAGTTGCCCGCCCATGTGTGGCATGAGGCCTCATGACAACAGGGTGCTGGTGTCAGCCTGCTGGTCGGCGATTTTCTTAGATGTCAAGCAAGAAGTCTGAAGAGTCAGGCGATCAACTAACACACTTGAGACGGAAAGCACCAGAAATACAAACGAAAGGGCCGGTGGCTCCAGCGTGGGAGACGCTCTCACAGAGGAAGGGGTTCCAAGCGGCCCCTTAGCCACATGGGTGGCGCCTCCCCTTCACAGAGAAGTGGCGATCCCCCCCCACTGCCACGCGTGCTTGCCAGGGAAACGGGCGGGTTCACCCAGCCAGTTCCATCAGACGAAGCCCGCCCAGAAACAAAGGCTGCAAAATGAAGCAAACATGTCACTCCCAAATTTTCGGCTCCCTCCTGAGAGCCGTGGACTCCCCTGCCCATCTCTTCCATCCCTCACGGGCGCTGATGCATAAAGACACCAGAGAACCAAGGAGGCTGCTTCAGGCGCGCACGACCTGCACTTGCGTGGACACACACTCGGCATGTTCTGAAAAAGGCACGTGACACAGAGCCGCTTCCAGCAGGTCTAGGACCCCAAGCCCTTGGGAAAATCAACGTCCCGGGGCCTGACGCCCTCGAATCTCTGCGAGACCAGGGTCTGAAGGGAGGCTTCGAGGCGAACAACCTCTAACAGATATCGCTGGAAGACATTTGAGCATCCTGACTCCTAGACTCAGTGCCTGGCGGGCATGGCATGGCCCTGGACTGACCCGCCCTCGAAGCTCCTGGAGGACAAGCCTCAGCCAAGGCTGAGCAGGACAGAAAGGCCACACTCCCCCAGTGGATGAGGTGGCACCAGGCAGGTGGCCTGGGGCGTCTGAACAGCCGGGTTAGAAGGTGTGGGGGACTCAATAAGAGGGAATGAAGTAAGGGGCCGGCCTCTGCCCCCAACACCTCCTGCTCCCCAAGCCATTTTGCAGGTGGTGGGACGGGTGGCTGGAGGAGGCACCGGGGTACCGCGTGCCTGCAGGGACAGTCCTTAGGGATGCACCCAAGCGCCGAAGCACCTTGACCCCTCCCGCAGGACACAGCGCCATGCCCCTCCCTCACTCACTCCCACCCGAGCGCTTCCCAAGCAGCCTGGGGGGGGGGGGGGGTGCAGCGCTGGCCTGAGGGGGCAGGGACATGCACAAAAGCCCCAAAATGGGGCTCCCCACACCCTCACAGCCTCTTCTGGCTCTGGCCCCTGGTCCCAGCTATACCTGCTGAATAGCCACCCCCACCCAATTCCACCGGAGCTTTTGCGGGGGGTGGGGAATACAGCTGGGATGAAACTGAAAACCCCTAGCACTACATACACAGACACACAAAGAAGGGCGGTCAAGACCAACGAGACCGGGATGAGGTGACATCGGCACCTGCAGAGCTGGCTTGGGCCAGCAGGACACCATGTTCCTTCTCCAAAGAGGCCAGCAGGCCTGAGAGCCAAACGCCCCCCTCCAAGAGGACAGGGGTTACCCAAGGCCCCCGGCACATGCCTCCCGAGCCCCACATGTCCCCCCGGAGTAGCAGGGAGGCTGCTGAGGGACTCGAAGGCCCGACACACGGTCCCGGCCAGGTGAGAGAAGGGATGAGGATGTGCGCGCAGTCGGCGCGACTCTGCAATCGCCAACGTCCTTCAACCTGTACCCAGGTGCGACAGAACCCGTGCCCACCCCACGCCGCCCCTCCCCGCCCCGCACACAGAGGAAGCCGCACACAAAAACCCCCTCAAGAAGCTGAGAAGGAGCACACAAAAGGTGGAAGGAAAACAGACCCAGGAAACTCCTGCCTCAGGAAACACCCAGTCCAAACAGCTTCCTTAGATCCAAATAAATTAGCCAAAAATGACTCCACTGGGATTAGAGCTCAAAGCAGGAACACTGGGGCTCAAAGGAGAAGCACAGAGAGGGAGATGAACCGGGAAGGGGCAAAGGCAGGTAGAGGCGTGGGGGGCCTGGGTGGCAGGGGACACGGAGCCCGCGGCCACCACAGCGCCGTGAATGGAAAACTCGAGAAACGGCCAGGGCCAGGGGGCCGGCTAGGAGAGGGGAGCCCCAGGCAGTGAGACAGAAGAAAGGAGCAGGGATGAGCTGCGGGGGCCTCACGCTGCCCCAGGCAGAGCTGTGCGGGACAGCAACTCGCGACACCTCCCAGCACAAGGGACAATTTGAACCAGAAGCAGGAGGGCTGTCGCATCCCAGGGAAAGTCGAAGCAGGCCAACGACAGGAGACAAGGCAGAGGAGGCTCTCCCCCCACAACACCCCCCCCCCCCGCAACAGGGACCCTCAACAGGGCAGAGAAGGCAGGAAACTGTCCCCGACCACGGACACCTGCCCGTCGCCCAGCCGGGCAGAAAACCCCCAAACCCGCAAGAACCCGGGACCTGACAGAGTTTCGCAGGAGGAGCAAAGCTAACATGACATGGGGGCTCTGGTTCCCGACTGTCCGGACCGTCAGACGCCGTATGCATGCTGGCGCGTGTACATGAACAAAATCAAGAGGGAAGCAGACGCAGCCAGCGGACTGCCCACCGTGTCTCCTTGGGCTGACATCAGAGGCATGACCTTAACCAGGAGAGGGACTGATACCCGTAACGAAACCACCCCAACCAGGTCGGGGGGTGGGGGGACACTCCTCTCCCCACTACTGCCAGGCGGCAGCAAACCGCGGCCCTGGGCCAAATCCCGCCTGCCGCCTGCTTTTGTATGGCCCCGAGAGCCAAGAATGTGGGGTGTTGTTTTCATTTTCAGATGGTTAGGGAAAAAAAAACAACAAAAGAAAAATGTTTCGGGACCAGCAAAGGTCCCATGAAATTCACATTTCGGCATGCATAAGTAAAGTTTTATTGGCACACAGCCAGGCCTGCTGGCTCGCGGGTCGCCAAGGTGGTGGGGCCGAGCACGGGACAGAGGCCGCCCCACCTGCGACGCTGAAAATATGACTCTCTGGCCCTTTGTGGACAAAGGTCGATTCCTCAGTTTCAAGAACAGAGAAGCAGGCACCACGGAGGAAGAGCCAGGTACACAGGCAGCCACCAGGCCGCAAGACAAGCAGGTTACACACCTTCCAAATGACTGGGCGAGCGGTGCCACGCACGCAGCTTCCCGCGAACCGTTCACGGTAAAAAGCAACACAGACTGCGCTTGTCTGTTTGCTCTCACCATGCGCACGCACGAATGGTCCACGAGTGACACGCCACGGAAGAGACACAGTTCCCCAGAAGCCTTCTCTGACTCTCGACGCCCTCCCGCTGCAGGGTGAGCAGCGCTGAGGGTCGCCACCATGAAGCCCGAGGCGCCCACTGCCCCCAAGGCTGGCCCTGGCCATCGGCTCCCACGGGGACATGGGCTGTGGGGCTTATGTCTGCATGCCAGGCCTACAACAGAGCCTGGCACGCGGGAAGAACTCTGTAACATCTGCTGACAACGAGGTCAGAGCAGCTCGGTGAACACGGCCACGGCCATGGCCACGCCAGGCCCAGGGCCCCGGGGCACGCTTAGGGCCGAACTGGTAGAAGGTGGCGCTGGGCCCGGGGCGTCACCCACCTTGGCCAGGCCTGCCCGGTGGGCTCCCTGGGACTCGATGTAGGCCACGTATTTGTTGAAGTCCTTAAATTCTTCCATGGTTGGGCGAAACGTCATGATTTTACAGCTCGGGTTCTGGGCCCCATGATCCTCAGACCCCATGGCTGCCGCAGAGAGGCTGTCACACCTGTGAGGGGAGGACAAGAGAGCGTGAGCGCGTCAGTGCCGCCACCCGTCCGGACATGCTAAAAATACCTGCGGCCTCGGGAAGACAAAGACAGGGGCCGCGCAGCTAAGCTGGGGCCAGAGAGGAGCCTGGGAGCGAACTCCATCTCTCCGCACTGGCACAAAAAACCAAAATGACTGCAACTAATTAAAAACAGAGGCGCCCTAGTTCTCCAAGCCAACGCAATACTGGAAGCTGGAGCACTAATTTCAATCTAGGGGCCCTGAGAAAGAAAAGCTTTCCTTATCAGGGACTTTTTATCTAGGTTTGCCGGCATCAGCTTCAAATCAATGCATCTACTTCGGAGCCGGATACCCACACCGACAGCAGCCCATGTGGCGGGCTTTCGAAGGTGAGTGAGGCTGTGTGTGCGAGTGTCACCCTCAGGGGCAACCAAGCCTGGAAGTTTCTGCATAGGAGCCGAGAGCATGGCTGATATTCTGGGGATATCCGAAGAGAGGCTGGGGATCAGGCTCCTCTTGGTGAGGAGGCCACATGCTGCAGTGGCCCCCTCCTGTTCCAGGAGGTAAGGGGACACAGCGAGGCAGTCGGTGGCCCATCCGAAGCAGGGAGGGTCTTGGGGACAGACTCTGGGGAAAGGTCCCTTGGAAAAGGTCAGAACCCAAGTGCATACAGACCTGAGAACCGGGAAGACAATTCGCCAAACCCAACTTCCTCTGACCCTCAAGTAAGCTGGGCAAAGAGAAAGAAGGCCCAGGAAAGTCCACCGGCCCTGAAAGGGGGCTTCCATGTCACCAAGTTGCAGCAGCAGCATCCCCGAATGGCACTCCCCCTGGCAGGCACTAGAGGGCAGCATGAGCCCAGGAATGGCTGCGAAGGCCTGCAGTATCTGCTGGGTAGGTTCTGGGGGCCTCAGGCACCCCTTCCAGGCCCTGCCCTCAACACCCCAACCCCGTCCCGTGGTGAAGGGGCTGGGACCAGGGGGACAGCACTAAGGCCATGCTCTGATGACAGACTGCCTGCCAGTAAGGGCTCTTGAGGGCCCTAACCCGGGGCGGGGGTCATCACTGACCTGGGCTGGGACCCCACCATGGCCCTCTCCCCTGTGTACACAGCAAGTCCCAAGGCTTCTCCTTGGGGCATGGCCACCAAGCAGGAGTGTGCATGGCACTGTGTGACAATAGCTCTGGGTGGAATCACAGGGAACCCCCGTGAAAACACAACCTAATAAAGGGAAAGGGGTTGTCAGCAAGCTCCCTTCAGAGCAGCAGGTACCACAGGACCTGGGCCACAGCCAGGCTGCCCACCCAGCAGGCTGCCCCACTGGAGCCCTGACCAGCCCCTGGGACTGACCACCACGCCATCCCAAGCCAGCCCCCTTGCCTGCAGCCAGGGCCCAGTACCTGCAGCCCTACCCAAGCCCCCAACCCACCTGCCCTCTCCTCTCCAGCCCAGATGCCACCATGTGGGGCTCACTTATGGCCTCCGCGGCTGGCAACAGGACACAGCGTGTCAGTCCTGGGGGAGCTCATGGCCTGGGGGGATGACCTTGACTCTGACACTCTTGGAACATCAGCGTGGACTGAGCTGGGCTGTCAGTTATGGAGGGAGCCGCAGAAGGGCAGGGTGGTGGGGAGACCTCCCTAGGCAGCGACGTCAGATGAGACACGAGACACCAGCTCAAACTCGACAGCAGCTTCCTCTGCCCAAAGCCCACAGGCCACCCCACTCCCTGCCACCCCCCACCAGCCTCCCATCACCCCGCTCCCCCACCCTGTCACCCACTCCCTGCCACCCCCAACCCTGCAATTCCAACCCCACTCCCTGCCACCCCCTAATGGCACAATGCAGTGAGCCCCTGAGGGGACCCCACCGACCACCTGTCTCATGTGGGTGAGCAGCTCCGCCTGTGGCTGGACATGATCCCCCCTGGTCGTGGCCCCTGGTCCTAAGCCTTCAGCCTGCCGTGGACAGTGCCCAGCTTGGCTGGCAGCGGGCACATGAGCATGTACGTGACTGATGTGGGTGACTCGTCCACTCCACACAATCAGCTCGTTTCGCACAGCTCACTGAGGCCACAGGGGAAATCACGTGCCCAGGCCCGACAAAGGTAGGTGGCAGGGCCTGAGTCCCCACACTCAACAGCTCCCATCCTTGGCCTGGCCGATCCTGGCCAGCTGGCTGCCTCTGCCCCCAGGCTAGCTCACGTGTGGCCTACAGGGGAGGGCACACAGGCTCCTCCAAGTGCCTCGGGACAAGCGGTGTCACCTCTGGTGGGGGCTGTCTCCAGCCCATCCGCCACCCGGCACGGCAGGGGGGGGTGGGGGGGAGATGGCGCTGTGTGGTACGCCCACCACCTCCCCGGGACCAGCTCGTCCCAGCCAGAGCCGGGGCAGCCCAGGGTCCTGCCCACACAAGCTCCCTCACGCATCAAAAATCATGATGCAGAGATGAGTTTCCCATCCAGGAGGTTGGAAAGAGCAGATGATAAGACAGCAGGTGGGTTTTCTGCACATGCGCACCGGTGAGACACGCTTTACTCCAACCACCGGCATCATCAAGATGCAGCTCAGCGGCGGATTATGTGTGATTTTTCCTCTGCTTTATTTGTGCCTTTTGAAATGAAGGTTTTGAGTAGATAAATATAAAGAAGAAAATTAAAATGGTTTATAATCCCAACACTCCGTACCTTTAACGCATTTTGTGAAGGCAGGCAAATAAAAAATCATACGTGTACGTACTTAAGAAACGAAAAAGGAATTTCAGCGAACAGCAACCCCAGGCCAAGGTCCCAGTTTATTGGGAACACGGCGGGGGCAGAGGACCAAGCAAGCGCCCCCTGAGGGAACGTGCAGGCCACTCCAGAAAGACCACTGTGCTCTTCACAGGTCAGTGGTGTGCCAAAAAGCGGGCACATTCACAACAGGATACGATAAAGACATGGCCCAGTTAAAAAGTGGGCAAAGGGCTCAAAAAGACATTTCTCCAATGCAAATACACACATGGCCAACAAGCACACAAAATGACGATCAACATGTTTAGCCATCAGGGCTACGCAAACCAAAACCACAAGAGACGCTCCGCCCCCACCAGGATGATTGTAATAAAAAAATAATAAAAACAGGGGCGGCTGGGTGGCTCAGTCGGTTAAGCGGCTGCCTTCGGCTCAGATCATGATCCCAGGATCCTGGGATTGAGCCCCACATCGGGCTCCCTGCTCAGCGGGGAGCCTGCTTCTCCCTCTCCCTCTGCCTGCCTGCCTGCCTACTTGTAATCTCTCTCTGTCAAATAAATAAATAAAATCTTAAAAAAAAAAAGACAACAACTAGTGCTGGGGAGATGTGGAGAAATGGGAACCCTGACACACGGCTGGGGGGTTTGGAAAATGAGGCGGCCACTGAGGAAAACAGTGTGGCGGCTCCTCAGAAAGTTACACCTAGAATTACCAGAGGACCCAGCAATTCTACCGGTAGAAATAGGCCCAAGAGAAGTGAAAACGTGTGTCCACACAAAAACGTGTGCATCTATATTCACAGCAGCACTGTCCACAATGGCCAAAAGGTAAAAACAACCCAAGTGTCCATCAACGGACAAACAGATGCACACGGGGTGTCCCCCACCCACGGGCACGGCCCTCAGCCGCGAACAGGAGCGAGGCGCCCACACGCACTGCCCCGGGGACGGACCCAAGCCCACGACGCTCAGGGAGGGAACTGGACACAGAAGGCTGAGGTCTGGGGTTTCTTTATGGGGTGATGGAAATGTTCTGAAACTGACCGGTGGGTTGACAGGGAAGCCAATGGTGGTCTAGAGCAAGGACACAGATCCCATTTACATCTTGAGGAAGCCCCCTCTGGCCGTCGGAAACGGACCACAGGTAGGGCCAGACTCGTGGGGGCAAGACCCCGGCAGCCGCCCCAGCCCAGGTTTCACGCTTGGCTGTTGCCCTCCTGAATTTCTTCCATTTTACAGTGAAGGACACTGGGGTTTCGCTTTGCCCTGGGCCCTGCAGGCTCTGCCATCGGGCCTGGCTGCGCAGGGCCAGCATGGAAGCCGGCAGACAAGGGCAGAGCTAGGGACAACAGTAGTGAGGAGGAGGGGACTGGATGCATTTCGAGGACAGAGGCGACAAAACTTGCCAAGGGTGAGGAAGGAGGAGCCAAGTGCAGGGAAGAGGGAGACAGAGGTGTGGCGGGTGGGAGAGGTTAGTTTGGACAAGACTGTGGTGAGCGGTAGGATGCACCCCCCGATATCCACGTCCTAATCCCCAGGACCTATGACTATGTCCCCTCCCACTGCAAAAGGGACCTTGCAGGTGAGATGAATTAAGGCCCCTGAGATGGGGATGATCCCGGATCCTCACAAGAGGGAGAGAGGAGAGATGCGATGCGGGCGCAGAGGCTGGATGGATTCGAAGAAGGGGCCCCAAGCCAGGGAGAGCAGGCAGTCCTCTGAAGCTGAAAAAAATCACGAAAAACGGTTCTGCCCTGAAATCTGCAGGAGGGGCCGCCCTGCCAGTGCCTTGATTTTAGCCTGCAGGAATCACTCACGCTCGCGGCCTCCCAGAAGTGGAAGAGAATAAAGTCACCAGGTTCACAGCCATTGGTTACAGGGGCCAGGGAAGCTCGCGCAAGTTCAGGTGAACGTGTTTCTGAAAAGCTCTTCAGGATTGCCATGCCGGCCCCATGAGACTCCCTGGGCTGTGGGAGCCCTGGCCCCCTCACACGACAGGGACCGTGGCATCCTCATCTCCCCGTCTGTTCAATCCGAGTATTGCTCAACTTCCAGCCACACGCTCAGCACGCAGGAGGCGCAGGCCTGGGCCAGGCCCCACCACCTGTGCAGAGACTGGCCAGCATCCTGAAGCCAGAGCCAGCTGGGGTGTCCACCGGGTGTACCCTTTAACAGGAAGGGTGGCCTCTTGGTGGGTTCCCCGGCTACAACTCTCCTGACCCAACCCGCAAAACCTCGAACAGGAGAAGAAAGAATCCCTATCTCTG